GGTTTGGGCCACCTAGCGGAAAGATTTGATGTCATCGCATATCCAATAATTGGCCAATGCACGGGCTATCCGTGTGAAGATGTGTTTTTTGCATAGCTCCCCGTAGATTTGTCGCTATCGGCACCCTTTTTCCCGGCAAATGTTTCTAGCTAAACAAATTAAGACTGCCCACCAGAACTATGGGGAAACACCCCCTTAAAATGTCAGCTTTCTAGCTTTTCTGGCTCCTGAGTTATCAACATACTGAAAAAAACTTTCACGAGCCGTACATGGGTACCACATACCCGATGTCTGGATTTGAGCTCGTTGACTTACGCGGACAGGAACATTCCCTTAAAACTACAGTCTTCTAGCTTTTCAGGTTCTCAAGTTAGCAACTTACCCGAGAAAAACTTTGGTGAGCCCGCGCGTGGATACCACGTATACTTGACGGCTGGGTTTGAGTTGAATGAGACTTAGGTGGACGGGGAATATCCTCTTAAAATTACAATCCTTTAGCTTTTCAGGTACTCGAGTTATCAACTTACCCGGAAAAAACTTTGGCGGGCTTGTACGTAGCTACCACACTTACTTGAGGGCTGCGTTTGAGCTCATAAATACCTACTTGGACGGACGGGGAACATTCTCTTAAGATTTCAGCTTTCTAGCTTCTCAGATCTCCGAGTTAGCAGCTTACCTGTAAAAAATTTTGGCGGGTTCGTACGCGGGTACCACGCTTGCCCTGGGGTTGGGTTTGACCTCATTAATACCTACTTGGACGAGAAGCATCCTCTTAAAATCTCAGCCTCCTAGCATTTCTAGTTCTCGAGTTAGCCGCTTACCCGTAAAAAACTTTCACGTGCTCTTACGTGGGTACCACGCGGGTAAGACCACCGATTTTGGGGGTGGGGGCCCGTACGTGCATGCAGATTAAGCCCCCAAAGTTCTAGCTCTGTAGCTTTCGTAGGTCTCTAGATGAAAAATCGGTACAGAAGCCCCGCGCACACACAGACACACGCACACACACAGACAACCTCTCGTCAATATGCGTTTGCCGCATTGCATAGCTGCAAAAAACGCATAAAAAGGAGTGCAAACTGCGCAGCCGAGTACAACTGGACGAGTTTTAGTGGCTACCGCTCCGAACTGCACATTTAGTCTCCGCGTAACTTCTCAGGCCCCTGCTAGAAATTACGCAGCCAACGATGTTGCACTTCCCAAGCATTGCGCCACCCAATCGTGCCTGCCTCCTACGAGACCGGGCCTAACGCCATAAAAGTTGGAGCCTGCAAGTCAAATGCCGCCGCCTGTTCGACCGCCCGTACAAAACAAAGCAGGCCACAATAGCAGCGGAAGTGCCCGGCCCTTCCTTATATGCGCCTCCCCACCCAAGACACTGCAACACCACCGCTCAACACACACAGTGGCTATAAAATGACAAAAAGAAACAAAACTCGGCTCGGCCCCACTTCCGTACTAGTGAGACACCGCAGTCGTCACGGGTGTTGTTTTTCCGGCCGTTTGGGTGACGTCCTCCGGGCGCTAGCTGGCCTACCCCGGAGTGCTGGGGTGGCGCTAAGTGGTGTAGTTCGGAGAGTGCTGGGTGGAAAGAGAGAACAGTACGGTGCTGTTTTGAGGACTCGTGGCAAGGGAGGTGCTGGGATAGTCAACTACTGCGGCTCGGCTCGGCCGCATAAAATTCCCACTTTCAAAGTTTCTCTTCAGCCCCCAACAACTGCAATTTTTAACCAGCCAATATTCCAGCCCCTTCCTACCTCGGGTCTACACGACCCAAACCAGCACTACACCTCCCCCCTTTTCCACCCATCACCCTTAAATCTACGTCTCCCCTAAAAGTTGGGGTAAAGTTACCCACAACTTGCCCTCGTTGTCCCATGAATCTCATTAAACCCACAACGCGAGTATGCACAAAAAGAGTACACGTTACGCGACCCAATCGACTTCTAGTAGTTAACTATCTCAGCTCCTCCCCTCGAGATTCTGCGGTCCAAACCGGCACCACACTGTCTTTCCGTTCTCTCCCCTCACCACCCTCCACTTCCCAAAATCTATGTTACCCAACGCCCGGGTGGAGGGGAGGGGGGACGTTACCCAGCACTTGGGGAACTTTACCCAGCATTCGGAGAAACACCACCCGTTACATGTTATGGTGTCCCATTAATGTACAAGGGGGGGGGG